CTGCTGCTGCTGCTGCTGCTGCTGCTGCTGCACGACTACCACAACCACAACCACCACAACAACCGCACCACCGCCACTCCAACTACCGCAGCAGCAGCACTACCACCGCTACAACAGCAGCAGCAGCAGCACCACCACCGCAGCAGCAGCAGCAGCAGCAGCAGGAGCAGCAGGGGTTATTATTACCATAGTAGAGGTGTATCAGTAAAATCAACAAATCTGCATGAATAACATGTTTGTGTATCATGAGGATTAACCATGAATGTATGTATACCTCCTGCTGCTGCATATAGATCTATAGCTTGCTGCAGCTGACTGCAGCGCAGCACGAGCCTTCTTGCTTCTCTTTGCATGCGGGTTGTTGCTGGATGAGGTAATGTATAAGGCTGCAGCAGCAACAAACGTGGCTGCTTGCTGCGCTGCAGTGTATAGGCACCTCGGGGTGTTGTTGGTGCTGTAGGTATACTCATTAAATCTATATCTTCTTCTTCTCTGCTGCTGCTGCTGTTGCTGCTGCTGCTGCTGCTGCTGCTTCTACTCTTCCTGCTGCTTCTTCTGCTGCTTCGCATGCTGCTCAACTTGCTGCTGCGGTGCATGCTGCTGTCACTACCACTGCTGCTGCTCTTGCGGTGGCTGCTGCGACGGCTGCTGCTGCTGCTGACGGGACTCTTAGGAGATTGGGCAGGAGGAGGAGGAGATGGAGGTCTTATTGTCTCCTGCTGCTGCTGCTGCTGCTGCTGCAGTGGTGGTGGTTGCTGCTGCTGCTGCAGTGGTGGTGGTGGCTGCGTAGGAGCACGTGATAAGGGTTTACTGTATGTATCTGGTGGTGATGGTGCTGCTGCAGCAGCAGCTCTTGCTGCAGTAGCTACACTTGCTGCTGCTGCTGCTGTTTCTCCTGTTGTCTTTGCTGGTGCTGCTGTTGCTGCTGCTGCTGCTGCTGCTGGTGTACTAAATTCATCAACAGGTAGAGGGCTACAGTCCCCCTCAAGTTGCTGCAGGGGCCCATCTTCTTCTTCTTCTTCCTCTGGTTCTTTTGCTGCTGCTGCTGCTGCTGCTTCTTCTTTCTCTAATTCGTCGCTGCTGCTGTCCTCGCTATGAGGAACAGAGATGATCTCCCTGCTGCCCCTCTCTATAGGTATATCTGTTAGCTGTTTGCTGAAGCTGGAAGCAAATGCTGCAGCAGCAGCAGCAGCAGCAGCAGCAGATTTACTACGGTCACGCTGCAGCAGCAAAGGAGGCTCCTCTTTATCTGGTTTTACCTCACGAGGATCATATAAAGGATAATACATTTGTATTCCTTCTTCTTCTTCTTCTTCTTTTTTTTCTTTTTCTTCTTTGTCTTTTATTTGTTTATCTATTTCGTCATCTTCTTCTTGCTGCTGCTGCTGCTGCGGGCGCCGCCGCCCTACACGACGCATCCATGAGAAGCAACTCATACTTTTATTATTATTATTTATATTATTAAGGGAATAAAAGGGAGGAAATTAGCTGCTGCTAATGCTGCAGCTGCTGCTGTTGTTGTTGCTGCTGCTGCTGCAGCGGGAACGGCACAGATTCTTTGACTACGCCGATTGACCAACAACTAGCGGCGGTGTATATACAAGGGGAGAAAAAAGGAGGAAAAGGAAGAAAATTACCTTCTTTTTGTTCTTTTTACCTTATTTAATCAATTAATTAATTAAATTAAATTAATTAAATAAAAAATAAGAAAGAAAAGATCTAATCTTTGCTGTGCAACAGAAAGGAGAGGCGCTGCCGCCCTAGGGGCCTCTCTTGCGGTGTCACTGCAGCACAACTAATTAAATAAATAAATAAATAAATAAATAAATAAATAAATAAATATATTTTTTATTTTATTTATTCTTATTCTTTTTATTTTTTTTATTCTTTTTATTTAATTAAATATATTTATTCCTGTACATATGCAACAAATATTTCCTGTCGATTGGATAAACAGCAAGAGGCAGATGGTGTGCTGAGGCTGCTGCTGCAGCTGCTGCTGCATGGCAGCAGCAGCAGCAGCAGCAGCAGCAGCAACTCCTTAGGAGGGTTTTCTTTGCTTTTTTTTTGCTGCCTTAATATAATAAATAAATTAAAAATAAAAATAAAAAATAAATTTAATTTACAAAGCTGCACACTGCACACACCAATCCTATACCCGGAGGGTTTAGGGTTTAGGGTTTAGGGTTTAGGGTTTAGGGTTTAGGGTTTAGGGTTGTTGTTATGGCTCTTGCTAGCCTTCCCTACCTAAAGGGTTATTTTTTCTTCTTTATTACGCTACTAAGTTGATTATAATTATTATTATTGTTATTATTATTATTTAATTTAATTTAATTTAATTAATTTATTTATTTATAGCAATAAATGAATAAAAAATAGGGAAAGGCTGTTGACCAATGGACCTCTGCAGCGGCTAGAGCTGCCTATACACCGCAAAATAAATAAAAAATTGTTTTTCTTATTTTTCTTCCTTTTTACATAAAAATTAAATAATTTTGTTTATTTAATTGATTAAAAAGAATAGCAAATAGATTCTTTTGTATAAACAAAAAAATATATAACAATATAAATATATTTTTCTTCTTTTTTTTTATGTGTTTATTTATTATATTATATAAATATAAACACTTATTTATTCATTTACTCCCCCCTTTATGCATGCATGCATGCATGCATGCATGCATGCATAATTGGCTGCATGCCTGCATGCATGCATGCAATTAGATATGCATGCATGCATTAATATAATTAAATGCATGCATGCATTTACTGCATGCATTTAATTAATTATTTTTTATTTATTTTTTTTTATTAATAAATATAAAAGAAGGACATAAGAGAAAAAATATATACCAGCATAAACAAATAATTTAAATAAATAAATAAATAAATAAATATATTAATTAATATTAATTAATTAATTAATATATTAATATATTAATAAATAAATTAATAAACAAATTAGTAGTAGAGAGGCATGCTGTGTATAACAACAACTAAATGTAGCAACACACACCAACACGATCTCCGCACAATGCTGCTGCTGCTGCTCCCGTTGCTGCTGCTGCTGCTGCTCCCGTTGTTGCTGCTGCTGCTGCTCCCGTTACTGCTGCTGCTGCTCCCGTTGCTGCTGCTGCTGCTGCTCCCGTTGCTGCTGCTGCTGCTGCTGCAGATGTAATATTAGCAGCAGCAACAGCTGCTGTTGCTGCTAGTGCTGCTGTTGTTGCTGCTGCTGCCTGTAGCTCGCAGCAAAGGTTGAAAGTTTGCTGACACACAGAAAAATTGAGAAAGACCTCCAGCTGCTGTTGCTGCTGTTGTTGTTGTTGCTGCTGCTGCTTCTGTTGTTGCTTCTGTTGTTGCTGCTGTTGTTGCTGCTGCTGAAGCTGCTGCAGCTGCTAACCATGCTCAAGGTACAAGTCGCATGTATGCTGCTGCTGCTGCTGCTGCAGTGGCCATCGAGATTGCTGCTTTAGCTGGTGTTGAACACTGCATGGGTGTCCAGACAACAGCAGATGATGAGGTGAGGAGGGCAAAGCAGCAGGGAAGAAGAAGCAAGGTTGCTGCTGCTGATGCTGATGCTGAAGCTGCTGCTGCTGCTGCTGTTGTTGCTGCTGCTGGTGGCGGGGGGCATTAGAGGACGCTGTGGACCCTTTGCGTCTGTTATTTAGATATATTAATGTGTTACCAAAGACAGGAAATACAAAAAGACTGCCACTGCGAACCATCGTATGGTGCTTCCTCGTTGAATGACTGACACACTAGGCGTTGATGGCGGTCAAGGGGTCGTTCTTTGCTGAGAAAAGGAACGAAATAAACACAAATTTGCTACAAAATAATATAATAAACTAAATTACAAAAATAAAGGTTGACCAAATTGCTCCACACCGCCGCTTAGGTGTCTGGGGCTGCGACCGATCATCCATTTTGCAATTCAACTTTTGAACGAACGAACGAACGACGGTGCAGGCAGTAGACGAATTTTGCGCTCTTGCTCCTTCTTCTATGTCAAAGACGGTGAAAAATTACGAATAAAAAAAGATTGAAATAAAACTTAAACATGAATTGGTGCAGTTTATGTTTATTTAACGAGGAGGTTTCCTCCAAATGTGCGGCTAAAACGATTTTTTGAACTCTCGATACACCGCAGCCGGTGTTGGCAGCACCACTGGAAAGCGGCAGCTTTCCCTAGGAAAGCAACGGCAACCTCCAATAAAATAGCAGTAATTAAACGAAATATTATATTATTAGCTGTTATTTTGAAAGTATTCAATGAATGCCCCCTTTTTCTTCCTCCTATTGATCTGTTTATGCTCGTGTTCTGCTTTTCGGTTTCAGTCGGCAGCGCCGCTCACCCCTCCCACCCCATCACCGCCTGCAGCATCAGACATAAATAAACTCTTGAGTTTTGATGAAAAAAGACAGAAGGATTGCAATGACCTAAAAAGAAAACTCCAAGTGGAGAAGTCGACCGTCAGGAAACTCACGCAGGAAGAAAAAGTGGCACAATGCCAACGGGAAATCGACCCAGAGGCGGAAAAGGTAAACAAATGTCAACCTCTAAACCCTACACCCTAAACCCTAAACCCTAAAACCCTTCAGATTCCCTTCATACAAAGGCCTATGATGAAGCCGACCATGATGAAGGCGTGTCTGCAAATGAAGGATGGTCTGTTGTCTTGCCACTTATCTGCAACGTGTAAACACTAAACCCTAAACCCTAAACAAAAAATATTCTATCCAGAGGAGGAGAAGGAAATGGAGGCAAAGGAGAAGCGAATTGAAGAATTAGAGTCAGAATGCAAAGGCGAGGTACCTCAAAACCCTAAACCCTAAACCCTAAACCCTACCTCCGGAATCCTCATTGCTATCTTCTTCAGATGGAAGCCTTGACGGAATCTAACAAAGAAATGGAAGAGAAGAAGAGGGAGCGGGAGTTGCCATTAAGAGGTTACGACCTCTCTGTGTTGCAGCGGGAGCTCGAGGAGCAGCAGCAGCAACAGCAGCAGCCGCAGCAGCAGGAACCAGTGATTGAGTTGCTCACTGAGCAGCGGTTCTGTCCTCACGACTTCTCTGTGCTTTGCCCCTTTGCTTGGATACCCATAGGAGATGAATCTTCTTGCAAAGCTCCAGAAGCTTACATTGGTGAACTCTAGGGTTTAGGGTTTAGGGTTTAGGGTTTAGGGTTTATTGTGTGTGGACACCGTAGGGAGCTGCGAAAGGCAAATGAACTTCGCTGTTAGCCAATCAGAGAAAGAACAGCTAGAGGATCAGTGCCTCATTTCTTGGCCCTGGTACTCCTAAACCCTAAACCCTAAACCCTAAACCCTAACTTCTTATTTCTCATGGGGTTCTTCGTTGTGCAGCATGAAGAAATGCAAGAGGGACTACACCCACCTTTGTCCTGAGAAATGGATCGAGTAAGTGTTTAGGGTTTAGGGTTTAGGGTTTAGTGCCTGAGCTATCCTCCTTTCAGGGAAGATAACGGCATTTGCGAGGCACCTTTCTCTTATTCCGGTGAGCAAGGGGTTTAGGGTTTAGGGTTTATGGTGTAGGGTTTAGGGTTTGGAGTTTTGTGGGCTAAGGGAAGAATTTCCCTTCCCCTCCAGTAACCAACCCTAAACCCTAAACCCTAGACATTTATGCTGCCAACCCTCAGGGCGATGCGAGCGCAGCACAAACTTCGCGGAAATGACTCCGTGTGTCTCCAAACCCTAAACCCTAAACCCTAAACCCTAAACCCTAAGCCCTGAATTGCAGCTCTGACAAGGAGCGATGGTCAAACTCGTGCGAAGCATTCTGTAAGCCCCTTCCTTTTCAGTGTAAACCCTAAACCCTAAACCCTAAACCCTAATTTGTTGTTGAAGGGCCTTGTGAGGCGCCTTGCGTTCGCGACTATTCAGCTGCATGCCCTGAAGGGTGGACCCTCTCTGGTATTGAAAACCCTTA